GAAGGAGTGCACATGCCCCATAATGACGCGCTAGTGATCGGCCCACTCATAGATCACGTGAAGGTGAGAAGAGTTCTCATCGACGGTTGAGCGTCCGCCAATATCTTGTCATTTTCGACCTACAAGGCTCTGGGGTGGGAGAGGAAGCACTTGAAGCTCAGCCCAACGCCTTTGGTCGGCTTTGCAGGGGAGTCAGTCAGCGCGGAAGGATGTGTCTCGCTCCCTATTACCATCGGCGAGGGAGATCAACAAGTAACTAAGGTTGTAGAATTTGTTGTGATAGATCGGAGCTCTGCGTACAACGCCATAATTGGTCGGCCCTTGATTCATGATCTCAGGGCAGTTCCGTCCACTTACCACCAGGTCTTGAAGTACCCCACCTCCGCCGGAATTGCGACAGTCCGGGGTGAGCAAAAAACGTCCAGAGCATGCTACGCCGCTGCGATGAAGGGAACAACCACTTGTGCAGCGGTCACGGAAGCGCCGATGAACCAGAGCCAAGCCGCGGTACCCCAGCTGAAGAGCTAGAACTTGTCCCCCTGTTGGGGCCAGAACAGTAGGTCAACGTCGGCAGCAGACTAGGGGCCGAGGTAAAAGAAGAGCTCGTCGGTTTTCTGAAAGCAAATGCTGACGTGTTCGCATGGTCTCATGACGACATACCGGGTATAGACCCAAGTATAATGGTGCATAGGCTTAATGTAGATCCTAGCTATAGGCCTGTGAGGCAAAAGCGTTGGCCTGTCGACGCCGAGCGAAGTAATGTAATTTGTAAAGAAGTCGAGCAGTTGCTACGAGCTAAATTCATAAGAGAAGTTCATTACCCCGCATGGCTATCTAATGTTGTTTTAGTTAAAAAGTCAAACGGCAAGTGGCGTGTCTGTATTGACTTTACGAGCCTCAATAAGGCGTGCCCGAAAGACAGTTTTCCCCTACCTCGGATAGATCAGCTCGTCGATGCAACGACAGGGCATGAACTCCTCTTCTTCATGGATGCCTACTCCGGGTACAATCAGATTCGGATGCATGCGCCCGACCAAGAGCATACCGCCTTTGTTACTGATCAAGGGCTGTATTGCTACAACGTCATGCCTTTCGGTTTGAAGAATGCCGAGGCGACCTACCAGCGGATGGTCAACATGATGTTCGCCAAACAGATCGGACGCAACATGGAGGTATATATGGACGACATGTTGGTAAAAAGTAAGTAGACGAGCTCCCATTTAGCCGACCTGGCAG